CAGGTTTCTGGTAAGGGCATGGATTTGTTTTTCATGGCTGTGTAGTGTTCCATGGTGTGTATGTACCCATTTCCTTTCTCTGATCCACTGCTGATGGGCACCACGGCTGATTCCACGTCTTTACCATTGTGAGTAGTACTGCCGTGAACATGCGAGTACGTGTGTGTTTTGGATGGAAGGATTTTCCTTTCGATAGATTCTCAGGAGTGGGGTTGCAGCGTTGGGTGGTAATTCTCTTTTACGTTCTTTGAGAAATGTCCACACTGTGCTCTCTAGGGAGTCTGAACTAGTTTGCATTTCCCCCTACAGTGGACCTGCATTTCTTTGCTCATCTGCCCCACCAGCCTCTGTTGTTGTGGACTGTGTGTCATAATTGCCATTCTGACCAGTGTGAGACGGTATCTCAGTATGTTTCTGATTTGCATTTCTCTGATGATCAGTGAGATCGAACTTGTTTTTATTCTCATTGGTTACCGGTACACCTTCTTTTAAGTGTGTGTTCATGTCCCTTGCCCATTTACAAGTTGGGTTTTTTTTTTTTTTTTCTGATTTTATTTGTTGAAGCTGTTTACATAAATCCTGGAAATTAGACATTTTTCAGATGCATAATTGGGGAATGTGTTCCCTCATTCTATAGGCTGTGTGCTGACTCTGTGGTTTTTTCTTGCGCAGCAGCTCTTTTGAGTACTAGGTCTCACTTATCAGTAATTGCTTTTGTTGCCATTGCTTTTGGGGACTTGACATATAAATGCTTTGCCAAAACCTCTGTCGAGAAGGGTATTTGCTAGATTCTCGTGCAGGATTTTTTTATAGTTTCAGGTCTTGGATTTTTATGTATTATTGTATTTATTTACAGACCGAGTCTTGCTGTGTCATACAGGCTGGAATGCAATGGAGCGATCTTGGCTCACTGCACCCTCCACCTTCGGGATTCAAGTGATTCTTGTGCATCAGTCTCCCAAGTAGCTCGGAGTACAGGTACATGCCACCATACCCAACTAAGTTTTGCTTTTTAAGTAGACAGGGTTTCATCATGTCGGCCAGGGTGGTCTCGAACTTTCCGACCTCAAGTCATCCGCCTGCTTTGGCCTCCCAGAGTGCTTGGATTCCAGGCATGAGCCACCACACCCAGCCCAGGATTTTGCATTTCAATCTTTGATTCAATTTGAGTTGCTTTCTGTACATGGTGAGACACGGGCCCAGTGTTATTTCTTCTGCATCTAGGTAGCCACTGATCCCAACACCACTTACTGATAGGGAATCCTTTCTCCATTGCTTATTTTTGTTGTTTTATTTTCAAGTATCAGATGATTTCAGGTGTGCAGGTTTGTATCTGGGTCTTCTAATCTGTTCCACTGTTCTGTGTAAGCGGGTGCCCAGCTTTTTAGTGAAAATGCCTAGCCATTACATTGTGAGTGTTTTCTTAGAGTATTTCCTTTGTTTTAATTTTTTAAAAATACCTTTAGCAGCCTATGTGCACGTATTACTTTTCGAAAATAAATGCGCACCGTATGTTTTCTTGTAGTAGTTTTGTGGTGTCAGAATTGAATTTTAGGCCTTTAACGTATTTTGCATTGATTTTTGTGTTGGCATGACATAACGGTCCTATTTCAGTGTTTTGCTTGTGAATGTTCAGTCTACTCAGAATCATCTATTGAACAGGCGGTCCTTTGCCCATTGTCTTTTTGTTGTTCTTTTGAAAAATGTGTTCACTGTATGTAATTGGGGTTGAGTATTTGGTTTACTGATTCTGTCCAGTTTCTTACTTTATGCCAGTAAATGATTGTTTGGATAATTATAAAAGTTTGTGTTTTTCATTCATTGTTTTAGCTTCTAAGTTTGTATTTGTTAAGTAATTTCGCCGGGCGCGGTGGCTCACGCCTGTAATCCCAGCACTTTGGGAGGCCGAGGCGGGTGGATCACGAGGTCAGGAGATCGAGACCATCCTGGCTAACTCGGTGAAACCCCGTCTCTACTAAAAATACAAAAAATTGGCCGGGCGTGGTGGCGGCACCTGTAGTCCCAGCTACTCGGAGGCTGAGGCAGGAGAATGGCGTGAACCGGGGAGGCTGAGCTTGCAGTGAGCCGAGATCGCGCCACTGCACTCCAGCCTGGGTGACAAAGCGAGACTCCGTCTCAAAAAAAACCAAAAAACAAAAAAAAAACTAATTTCTACATTTATTATAGACTAAAAGGTACAAACACAGATTAGTTACTGCCTTTGGTATAATGCATGACACTGAGACTGGGGTCCCAGAGACCTTACCACGCAGGGAGTGGGTGGACCCACTGGCTAAGTCTTTAGCCCATACCTCGCCCCTTCTTCCTTTTTTGTCTGATAGTGATCAGTGTCTGTTGGATAGGGTGTATTCAATGTTAGCTCCACCTTAGAAGTGAGAACGTGGCATTTGGTGTTCTGGTTTTTCCTTCTTTGCCTTTAGATAATGGCCTCCAGCTCCTTTCATGTTGCTGCCAAGGGCATGATTTCCTCATTTTTTGTTTTTTGTTTTTTATGGCTGCCTAGTTTTTTGTGGTATATATGTACCACATTTTCCTTTTCTGATCCACTGTTGATGGGTGCCTCGGTTGATTTCACGTATTTGCCATTGTAAATAGTCCCGCCAAGACCATTTGTGTGCATGTGTGTTTTGGACAGAAGGATTTATTTTCCTTTGTGTATATCCCAGTGGTGGGCTTGCTGTGTCAGATAGTAGTTCTGGTTTAAGTTCTTTGAGCAATCTCCAAAGTGCTTTCTGTGGTGTCTGAACTACTTTGCATTTTCACTAAAGGTGGACCAGTATCCCCCTTCTCTACTGCCTCACTAGTGTCCTTTTTTTTTCCTGACTGTATAATCGTCATTCTGACCAGCGTGCGATATGTCTCATTGTGCTTTTGATTGATATTTCTCTGACAATTAGGTTCAGCATATTTTCAAATTTTTGGTTGCTTTTATATCATCTTTCAAGAAGTGTGTGCTTATATCCATTGCCTATTAATTATTTGGGGGGGTTGGCTAATTGATTTGTGTAAGGTCTTTAAGGTAGATTCTGGACATTAGAACCTTGGTCAGGTGCATAGTTCGGGAACATTTTCTCTCATCCTGTATGTCGTCTGTTTACTCTGTGGGTAATTTCTTGTGTTGTGTGGTGGCTCTTTAGTGTATTAGGTCCCACGTGTCGATTATTGCTTTTGTTGCAGTGTCATGTGGGGTCTTAGACATATAAATGCTTTGTCAAAGCTGATGTTGAAGGGTATTTCCTAGGGTCTCTTGTAGGCTTTCTGTACTTTGAGGTCTTCCATTTACATCCTTCATTCATCTGAGTGAACTTTGGTAGATGGTGAGAAGTAGAGGCCTAGTGTTATTTACTCTTCTGCACATGGCTCGCCATTTATCCCCAAGACTATTGAAACGGGAGTTCTTTCCCCATTACTTAATCATTGTGTATTTCATCCAGCATCAGGTGGTATGAGGTGTGTGGATTTACTTCAGGTTCTGTGTTCTCTTCCACTCATCCATGTGGAAGCAGGTCCCCAGAGTTTGAGTGAAATTTCAAATCAGAGTGTGTGATGCATCCAATGTAGTTTCAATTTCTCAGAATTGCTTTGGAAATACAGGGCATTTCCTGGTCTCACATGAACTTCAGCATTGTTTCTTTCTATGTCCTTAAAAACAATTTGTCCTATAGTAAAAGTATACAGTTAAAGAGCAGAGTGGGACATTTTAATCCATGCATATATACCTTGTGTAATGATCAAAGGAAGGCATTGACTGTCTCTGTTACCTTGTGTAGTTATTCTTTATTAGTTCTCTGTGGTTGTAATATTCAGAGTCCTTCTTTTCAGGCTTTTTTGGAAAATATGGTGGGATACTGTTAAGTCTAGACACCCTGCTGTGAAGTAGAACAGCTGAATTTATTCCTGTCATCTGAGTGTAACATTGTATCCATGTATCCATTTCCCAGTTTCTGCCCCTGCTCCCCCACCATTAGCCTCTCTTCACAGCTGTGGAACTTTTCTTTTTTTTTTTTTTTTTTTTTTTTTTTTTTT